CTTTTAAACACATGTGGAAAAGATTACCAAGAAAAACATTTTCAGTGGATATCTATTTATTAGATGCCTGTTCATCCTTTGTGTGATTTAGGGCAAATCATGAATGGGAAAGGAAGGAGAACCCCCTGCTTTAGAAATTATGTTCAGGTTTAGTCCCCCCCAACTCCAGACAATGAGTCCATGGAGAGAGAGAGAGAAGTGGATTTCAGAACAGAAACAGGCTGAATTCCTTTCTCAAAGTGTGGGGATTTTTCCATGGCTTAATCCTCAGGTTAATCTCCATATAGCCAAGAGAAAAGCAGGGTGAAGTTTCCTGTTGTTCCTAGGCAATGCTTCCAGCTGAGCAGTCTGTTTCTCTTGTGCTAGCTCCAATTGGTGTGACTCCTTGGTGAGCGATTTAAGTTGGAGTCAGAAATCCCACGAGACTAGGCCTCATGGAGAAAGGAGAAGGAGGGGTTGAAAAGGGCTTCTGCAAGACTGTGTGTGGTCATGGGGAAGATGGAAACACATCCTTCAGCTCCAACACAAAACGGCACGTTGAGATGCCTGTTAGGCTCTGTAAATGCACTTGAAAGACCAACTCAGGTACCTTCAAATTATTTCATCCATTAACCCCATTTCATGTTCTCTGAATGGGCTTAAACTGCAGAAGCATTCTAAAATATCAAATAATGTATGATGCTGCAATGACATTTCAGAATAGGCTGGTTTTATTTTCATAAAAATTCTGGGGTTTTCCCTAACATTTTTCAATGCAAGTTTCTAATTCATGAATCAAGAAGTAGCTATGTCATCACATTTTTTGTTTTGACTAATTACTATAGATTACACAGGAGTTCTCATACCATTCTGTTAAGATTACATATATATAAAAAGACTGTATTCTTTTTATTCATATTTCTATTTAGTCTAATCCAGTATTTTGCTGGAATGTAAGGGTGGTGGTTGCTGGTCTTGCTTAAGTGCGAGCTGGTGGCTTTAAGTAATTTCTGGATTTAAGTGTTAATTGCTGAAATGGAAGTGGGAAGAATATGTGATCATGCAAAAGAATTTCAAGTGGTCACATGAGTAGCTGAAGGTGATAATTTCAGCTCCTTTACATAATTTCTTCCCTGAGTGTGGATTTGGTTTGTAATGGTTATTGTTAAAGGAAATGTTCTCTGTAGTTAAAACCACATAAAAAGGTCCATGTAAATAGTGAATCCTAGAAATAGTCACAATTTTTCTCCTGCTTTTCTTAGAAAAATTGCTCTGTGAAAATGGCGGGGGGGGCTGGTTTTACTGTCTTATTTGTGTCAGCTTTTATCACTTTTATCTCTTTTCCAAGTCAATTATCCATGGCTTGACTTCTAGGCATCAGACAATTCCTTGGGTCTGACTTTTTTCTCTGACCCCAGAGGCTGACTTGGTTCCTCTTTAGGCAGAGGGTAAGATGTTGCTTTTCTTCTTCCAAACACATCTTGTTCATCCTTTCTGTACAATTTGGATACGTGTGCTGTCAGCACTTGTTCATGGGTGTGTTGGTCCTTACAGCATCACAGTAAAATGGATGTGTCTTCACTGTAACATAAAGTAGTTGCTTCTCTTTGGGTGGTCAGAATTGCCCAGGATGATGGGGTTTGCATTGCTGGTCTAGTTCAGAATGGCAAAACATCAGTCTGCTTGAGCAGATGGAAAGGATTTATATAGAGGGACATAGGGGAGAGAATATTCAGGAACCACAAGTATTAGGGCTGTTTCATCTTATACATGGCATTAATTATTCCTCTGATTTGTCTTTTTCTGAAATTCCGCAGTTTTATTGTAAAACATCCCAATTGAGAGTCAACATGTTGTAGTGCTTCTCTCCTACAAAATATTTGTGGAAACTGAATAGTTAGACTAACTGTAAATGTGTTCATGTAATAAATGTTACAGGGCATGTTCACCTTTTTTTTTTTATTTGTTTGCTTCAAAATAGATAAGCAGCATTTGGTGTAAAAAAATAATAATATTGGCTGATGCACAAGAACTTGTTTTTATGTGATTTTGGATCATATTTCATAGATGGAGCAATTCTTAAACATCATCTGAATCTTAAGTAATAAAGAATTTTGTGCTGCTTTCTTTCAGGCTGTCAGAGAAAAGGTCACTTTAATTTTCATGTGTGTATGTGTTTTATATTTTTTCTTAATTACATCTTTTTCTCCTCTTTTTTTAATTAAGAAATTATGTTTCACATGTGGAACTAATTGTACATATTTTTGTTCATCACTGCTTTGAAAAGTCTTTAAGAGCTTGATTTTTATCATTTTTGATTTTATTTTAAGTGAAATCTCATGCTTTTCTCCCTTTTTTAAACTGCTTGTTGAACAATATAATCAACAGTGATATAAAAATGCACTATGCAATGTCATATTTTAGGCAGTTACACTGGATTGAACTGTAATTAATTGCTGTTGCCGAATACACCATGGCCTTATTCTCTTTTTGTACCCAGGCTTTTCTTTGTGTGTAATAATTCCATCCAGGAAGAAATCTAATTACTAAGATAATTAACACCTTATCAGCAAATGGAGTTCAGACATTTGTAGAGTTTATGAATTTTTAAAATATGTAATTTCCTTTTAACTGAATGACAACTGGTGTTATGGAGAAAAAGAGCATATTTTATTGTATCTAGCTTGATTGGACCTTATAATTCATGTTGCTATAGAAACAACCAGGCCTTTATAAAGGATGGTATTACTACTACCATTGGTAATAAATGCTTTGACTGTTGCCAATAGTGTCATTAAAATGGATAAAATAACTTCATTATAATGGTTTTGTCAAATGTAATGAATGTTCTGTTCATGTTCTGAGAAATGGCAGCTGATGTTAGGTGGCACTGGTTTATAAAGTAATATACTCTTTCTTCCATGAGCTTTATACTGCTTTGCAAGATATTTGTGGTATGAACAAAGTCATGTTGCAGGATACAGTGCTGCTGTCTTCATTCAGTCCTTAAAGATAAGGGATTTTATTGTTACTTGATATCAAGCACAAGTTCGTATCTTGATGTTTGTCAGTGTTAAGCGATGGTAACTGATGGTGCTGAGCCATCAGCTCTGGGGATTTCTGCTTTTCTGCACAATATTCAACTTGTGTTTGCCACTTAGGGCTCTTGGATCAAGTCCTTGAAAACGTTCAGTTTTATACTGGTTTTGATTTGTCATTCAAATGACATGTTTTAAGCTCCGCTCAGATGATGCAGTCTGAATTCATGAACTCAAAAGGGAATTGATAGAATTTGGTTACTTTGGTGGGAATTTTTCATCAGGAAAAGTTGGAAGAAGATTCTAATAATATCTGATAAATTCCAGTGCTGCTACCTATATATCCAATACCAATATATCCAATATTGCATCTGATCAAATTAATAAGAACAGTATTCTCTGCATCCCTTTTTTGGATATTTTGACAACAGGTTTTCCTTTTCCAATAGAACTCATTGTTTCAGGAAGTTTTTCTTTAGGGAAGTTTTTCTTTCAGTTATTCAAAATCCAGTTTCTTCACTCACTATAACCACATCATTTTTTTTTTTTTTCTGTGGTGATGTATTGTCTAATAAGTAATTATAGTTTTCTTTGGCTATTTGAATGCTTTATAAATGTAAAATGATACATGCACTGACGTTCATAGTTCTGCATTGTGTTAACCAGATGAGGGGAAGAGAAGCTTTCCATCCATTTCTTTAGGTTAGAGACAGTCTTGGAGACATCTTCTTAACCTCAAGTGTGAACTTCACTTGTGACAGTTGTCTTTTTGCCATTCACCCCTTAAACAAGCTCTCTCAGCTGTTTCTGCACCTGTAGCCTAAGTAAGAGCTGTAGAATTACTTAGATTGGAAGGGACCTCTGCAAGACATCTCATCTATTTCCCCTACTTGAAACAGGACCAGTTCCAAGTTAGATACCACCAGTATTTGTATAGAGGTCTTACTTTTCTCCATAAGTCATATTTTCTCCTGTTTATCATTGTTACTGGCAGTGTGGGGTGAACTGTGCATTGTGGAAACAGTCTCATCTGTGTCAGGAGGGAGCACTGAGCACTCTGTGTTTCTGCCTCTCTCCAGAGATTAATGCTAATCATTATTCCCACTGTATGCAAAGCTCAGACTGGGTGCAAGCCTTGACAGCTGCTCCGATATCTACTGGGGAAAGTGTTCATGGCATGTTCCCACCATGTCCAAGACTGTGACAGTGGCACTATTTCAACTGAAACCCCCTAACTTCACCCTCTGCTGTGCATCCTTCTGTGTCTGTGGGCTGTCTCTGTCAGCTGTGCTGCCCTAACCTGATGTGTGTAAGGGTTCTGCATATTCAGTCCAAGGGGAACAGTTAGGGAATGTTGACCTTGCTTAAATAACAAGAGAACTCACTGCCTGTTCATTTGTGAACTTAAGTATTTTGGTTTTTTAAATATTTTTTGTTTAAAGCAAGGCATAGGCTGATGTTTTAGAATACCGAGTTAAAAATTAACTTGTGACTAAAGATGTATTTTTGGCTCCTAAGCTGATTTTGCTCAAATTTGCTGGGTGATATGACATGCCAGTCCCCTCTTTGAGATATCCTGTTCTACTTCAATAGCAGGATTATAAAACATTAAATAGCTGATATTTTCTAGTGACTGAGTCTCAAAAGGTTTACATTTTATGGATTAAGCAATCAGAATTCAAGAAATAGGAAGGTCTGCTGATTACCTCTAATTTTGGTTGAAGGAAGGGTTGATCCAGATGTTTTTACAATTCTTTCACAATCTTAGTCCAGTATTTGCTGCAATGTCTTCTATTACTTGTGCACTTGGCTGAGCAACAGATTCATTTCTCATTACCAAACAATGGTGTTATTTTTTATTTCCCCAAGTTCCTTGTAGGTCTCAATTTCTGCAGATAAAGTTGATGTTTATATGTACCACTAGCTTTTAAGTACATCTAGTACATGTCCTCAGTTAAGTATTTCTTTCTACTTCCTTTACAGAGTGCCTGGAATAACAATTGCTACAGACATAATTTGTGGTTTTCCAGGAGAGACAGATGAAGATTTTCAAGAAACTATGAAACTTGTAGAACTTTACAGGTTTCCAAGCTTGTTTATTAATCAGTTCTACCCACGTCCAGGAACCCCAGCTGCAAAAATGCCTCAAGTTCCAGCTGCAGTGGTAAGATCCATTTTCAGATGCCTTTAATAAAGCATGTACATGAAAACGTACATTTTCTACAGAGCTGTGCCACATTCAAATGAAGGATTTTTTCAGTCCAGTAAGGGAAATGATGCTAGCTAGACCACTAAATGTGTTTTCATATATAAATGACTGATCATATTGTAAGGAAGGGTAAAGCAGTGGTTATACTGAAGATCTTGTCTGCTTTTTATCAAGTTTGGGGTGAATGACTACCAAGAGTAGTAGCTGATTGATTACACATAGTATTTTTTTCTATTTTAAGACTTCTGGGACTCCAGCATTCTCAAGCTTATTGTGAATAATTATGCAAAGTATTAATAACAGTGAGAGTCTCTGATTTATTTGTCAAATATTAAATTTAAAAGCTACTTCTTCTTGAGACTCTCCTTACGCACTGCTCATTTACTTCCTTCAGCCTGGAAGTTAAAGGCCATTGCATCTAATCTCCCTCCCTCCCTCCCTGCCTGCCTCCCTGCCTACCTCCCTGCCTACCTTCCTGCCTTCTTTCCTGCCTGCCTTCCTTCCTGCCTTCCTGCCTGCCTTCCTGTTCCTATAGAGAAGATACATGACTGCAAACTATATCTTGCTTGATATAAATAACTATTTATAAGCAATAAATAGCAGTCATATCAGAAGGCATGGTTTGGTTTATTTCAAGAAAATTGAATTTCTTATTTTTGTAAACTGAATCTCAAAACAGGAAAGTATATAAGATTGATGCCTTTAGTAATTCCATTCAACTCATTATTTTATCATTTTTATGGACATAAATAGCATTTATATTTCCTTCCAATGTAAGAATGAAAGTTAGCCAGCAATGTAAATCAATTTAAATAAAAACCTATTTATTTCAATTTATGTATCCTGGTACACCAACACGAAGTCAAATAATATACCGGGACTTGTATCCCTTTGCTTATATATCTGAAAGCTAAACAAAGTATCTCTGTTTACTCCCAGTATATACACGAATTCCATAGGATGTGTCAGCTGCTGGAGACATAAAATGAGATTATATCTGGTTTCTTCAGTTTATTGTTTAGTGTAGTGCAGCTTGGGCAATGACTGTTCATTTATTATAGACTATCTCAGAATTGGTTAATTGTAAGTTTTCAAATATAAATACCTGCTGTTGAAGTGGTCTCCTTAGTATAACCAACTCACATGGTTGCATTATTTGTCTTACTCTTGAATGCTTTTTAGATACTTTAATAAATGAAAAAAAGTTTAGAAATGTAGTTTTTGGAAGGTATGAAGTATAAAAGTCAAAACATTGCTTTGTGTTTTGGGTTTGTATTCATATACACAAGTTCTTAAGCATGCTATTTTCACAGGAGGTGCAGAGAGCTTAAGTTAATTTACCCACTTCTGTTTAACTGGGGGCTTATGGGAAGACAGTCTGTGAAGAGATAAATTATTAAAAGAACACTGACTGTTCTGTAGTTAGAAGTATTACTTGGAAAATGGTAATTGTCAATTTAACCCAGTTTCACATTCTTTCTTCTTATTTGTAGCACTAGTACTTACTGCTTTCAGTGAATTAGAACCTTCAAAGAAGATGGGGCCTCTAATCCAGGGCTGATGAAAATCTGTAATTAATAGATTTTGTTTCTCTTTTTTCTTTTTTTTTCCCCCCTGTAGTCCTTCAAAAATCCTGTGTTATGAGATCCTTTGTTCTTTTATCTCTTAGTAGAAATGAAGAGCAACTAGTCAAACAGAGCAGGAAGAGCTTGTGCTAATCTCCTATGTTTTATATTCACATTACTTCTAGACAGCAGCTGATGATCTTTCCTGCATTTCCAGAAATGGACAGGCATTTAATTTGTCATTCCTTGCTTAGAGTAACATACGTTTCTCTGCTAGGAAAAGGAAGTAGCACACAACCATCCACATTATGCACTCTGACCCTTTCATCCTTTAATGAAATATTATCCATGTTAATGAATTCATGTTACTGCATTTGCATTGGGTAAGAAATGGCACATGCACTGCCATACAGCTGGTCTGTACAAGTGTCTCAGTGTGCATTAGATCACCAGTCTGAACTTGCGAGCTTGGTGCTTCCACATGATGTTTGTAACAGTATCCTCTGCAGTGGATCTGTTGGTAGCATTTCTTTATGAGAAAAGAATTTTGTCTGTACTGTTTAAGAACAGATGCTGAATCAGTGAGCAAGTTATTTGACGACTTTTATTTTTCTTTTCTTCTTTGTTACTTTTTCCTGAAGACTGAATGCATTTGCTACGTTATTTCAGCTTTTAAATACCTCTGCAATGGACAAATCCGTTGCTAATTGCAAACTGCTCCACTTTAGCGAGTCCTTCTTCAGCAACTCTGATTCAGGATGGCCTTGGTGATTCTGCCCAAGTATCACAGCTGCAATAATAACATACTTGTCATGTCAGTTCCTTTAAGATTACCTTTTTTTGGAAGACCTTACCACTTCTAGAGACAAGCTATAGAATATGAAGCATAGTAATATTTAGTACTTTTATATTTTTAGTGTATTGGTTGGATTATGATCTTAAATATAATTGCCTTTTGGGAGAAAATCCTCATTTGAGCTTATCTTAATTGAAGAAACAATCAGTAGGTCAACATGGAATCATCCCTTCACATAGATAATTTATCATTGAAAGCCTTACAGGCACCAGTATTTTGCTAAAAGGGCAGATGACACTAATCCAGGTGGACAGTTCTGCCACCATAAATTCAGACAAGACAGCTAAGGCTGCAGGCCTTTCTTATTTCTCCTGGAGAAAAAAATGTCCATGGAGAATCAGACATCTGTCTGAATGGTCTCATCATTTCATAACTATCAATTAGATTATGCTTACCATAAATACTCTCTCCAGTTTAGAGAAAAGTTAAAACAAACCTAGGCATGATTTTTTTTTTTTTTTTAATAAGCAATTACAGTAATGCTGAGTCATGTGCCTGGAAAATGAGCCAAGCTGTTGTCCAGAACTTAAACGCTACCCAATTTTTTTTCTTTGCCTTTGTCCTGATTTTATCCACTTTCTCCTAAATGCACCGTTTCAGAGATGAGTCTGGATGCTCCTTAGTGGGTAGAAAATTCTCACTCTGAAGTGTGTTAATGATTAAATGCTACTTTGTGTATTGTTATTTCTGCTATTGTTATTATGTATCTGAATTGCTCCATTTCCTTACTGTGTTTGCTTTTGTGTAAGTGTTAGTGTTGGTAACTGTGTAACTCAAATTACAGATTCTAGTTAAACTAATAATAACCAATGTAAGAGAACATGATTCAGATGTGTCTGGTATGGGAATATAGGAACTCATATTTAATTGCATTGCAAAGGATCAGAATAATTCGAAGTGTGAATTATTATTACTATTAATTTTATTATCTAAAATTAAGAGTGTGTAATACCTTATGTTTTTGATAATTTCTCTGGTCTTTATTTTTTCAAGTCCCCACTCATGTGGGGACTTGAAAGATTCTTTTCTCTGTCCTCATTATTTAGTCCATCACAATTTCTGAAACATTAGGGAAGATTATCATCTCAGAATCAACTTGACTTCTGTCACTTGGAAATTACATGAGGAAATAGCCATTTTGAAAATAAGGATCATAACAAGGTACAATTAGGTTCATCTCTACTGAGAATAGGAGATGGCAGCTGTTTTGAGAGCAGTAATGTGACTGCAGCTTCATGATTACACTGTTATCAACTGCAGTATGGATTCTAATTTTTCTGTATATATTTTCAGTAGTGTAAGAAATTTGGTTTCAATTATATATTCACTTTCTTTTTCCTTCTCCCTTTCTTTATATCACCAGATAATTACATTGCTTCAAGCTAGAAAATTTTGTCAGTCAACTATTGAACATTTCCTTTAATTCCTCTGAAGTGTCTCATTAATTTTTTTCTCTCTGTATTAGTTGTATTAAGCATGATGCTTGCTATACTGAAGTGAATAACCAATTTACAAACTTCGTAACTGTCCTGGTTTTGGCTGGAATAGAGTTGATTTTCTTCCTAGGAGCTGGTATGGTGCTGTGTTCTGGATTTAATATGAGAATCACGTTGATACCACTACATGCTATTTCTAGTTGTTGTTAAGTAATGTTTAGCAAGTCGAAAACTTCTCAGCTTCTTGTGCCCAGCCAGCAAGAAAGCTGGAGGGGCACAAGAATCTGGGAGGCTGCTCAGCTGGGACAATTGCCCCAAGCTGGCCACAGGGATATTCCATAGCATGTGGTGTCATGCTGAGTATACAGAGCTGGCCAGAGGCAGCTGCTGCAGCTGCTCAGTCACCCTGAAGAGTTGGAAAACTAACACACTGTTAGTACACTCACCATTATTAGGAGAAATAAATATCAGTGATCAGACCTTGTATCCCACTCCATTTAATCAAACCATCACTTAGATCTGTTCCCATATTTCCCAATTACAGGAGCAGTACATAATACACTAAGAGATTTTTTTTCCATAAGAACAGCATAATACAATATACACCTCAGTGCTGTCCGCCAGACAAGTTGTATTTGATCATCTCTGTGGGAGGAGAAATTTTGTGGCCTTTATTCTATAATGGCTACTTATTTTTCTTAGACTGCTTTACTTTTACTTCCCTCTAGGAGGTCTCCAAGCAGTTTCATGACACCCTTTCAAAACAGAGTGGCTGCAGATCCACCATATCACTCTTTGATTAGAATTCTGCAAGGCACTAAAAATAGGCATTCTTGAGTGCCACTAGATACAGTGTGATGTTTAATTCCTCCTTTGCTGTGTGGATGGATATAGGTTTTGTAGTTCTGAATCTCTGCACACACAGTTGAATCTTCCATGGAAACTCATGTGCTCTTCCTTTTCAAAATACATGATTATCCAAATGTTGCCAAACTGTCCCAGCCTCACTGAAAAATAACCACTCCTGCATCAGACAATGTAGCTGTCCTCTGCTTCAGAAATTTTAACTTCAGGTAGCTGGACAGCAAATGGAATAGC